GGAAATTATTAATGATTTGTAACAGAAATACACTTTTTTTATAAACTTTTTATTGTGAACTATAACACCTATGAACGCATGTAAAGCATTAATCTACAGTATGATGAATATTTATAGAGGACATCACCTTCTATTAGGTTATTGATACTGTGGCTTGAATAACAGGAATTGGCTGGAGTTAGCAGAGTTCCCCTCCTGTAATACATCACTCATTTACCAATGGACTGAGGTCAAACAACGACATCTCAGAGGAGATGTGAGGTAGCTGTGGTGTCATGAAGGAGAGGTGGAGAGGAACATCCTTTCACTAGATAGGAAGCTATAAGCCAATAACAAAGTCTTTGCTCTTTTGGGACCCAGACCGGGAGCCTGGAGAAGTTGAGGCTTTGAGGAATCCATGGAAGCCTTACTATAGAATATGGGGCAATAAAATGGAGATAAGGCAGTGGTTTACGACTAGGCGGGGTGGGGGGGCATGATCATACACCTCACTGCGATCCTAATAAAAGCTATGGCTCCTCCCTCCATAAAATTCAAGCTCACATATATGCATACATGCTAAGTTGTGTATGCAATTACAGAAACAATCACAAACCCAATGAAGTGACTAAACCCAGGGTTGCCAAAGAACCTCTGGAAAAAAGGAATGCAAAAATTTCTGATTCTCATAGCATTGAATGATCTGCAGATGGTAGATAGCCAACCCAGGCACTAAGATTTGAATACAGAACAGGGCAACATGCAAAATCAGGCAAGGGAGATAAGCTACCAGATAAAGAAACTCAGGCCACCACGTAACTGATACAAAACACACTTTCTGATTGCAGTCAGCACTCTGAGATCACTGACAGGAACTAAATTGGTCATTCCAGTTGTGACAACATAGGCTGAATTCTCAGCTGCCACGTGCTTCTTTGGCAAAAACTGGGACCTGGCAGTTGTGTCAACAGAAAAAAAGACCAAACTCTGTAAAATAATTTTAAAGAGATTTACTCTGAGCCAAATTTGAGGACCATGACCCGGAGCCATGCCCAAGAGGTCTTGAGCAGTGGACTCACAGAGGTTGGGTTACAGTTTGGTTTTATACATTTTAGGGAGACAGGGGTTACAGGGGAAGTCATAAATCAATACATGGGAGGCATACATTGGTTTGGCCCAAAAAGGTGGGCCATCGCAAAGCGGGGGCTTACAGGTTATAGGTGGATTAAAAGATTCTTTGACCTGTAATTGGTTAAAGACATGAAGCTTTGCCTAAAGGTTTGGAATGTTTTAACATAAGGAGCTCTTTATCAGAGATAAGCCACTGGACATAGATTTGTTGTATAAATTGAGGACCTGCAGGTTTGTCTTGCATACCCTTAGGCCTGTTAATGGGTTACAAAGGATGTCACCAAGAAGGGAGCGGGGCATGATAAGACATGTATGACCTCCTTCCTCTTGGCAGGCAATTTAGTTTTAGGGTATTCCTTTGGCCACGAGGGGGTCCATTTAGTCAGCCAGTAGGGGGGTGAGCCTTAAAATTTTATTTTAGTTCACAGTTGGAATAGAGATATTTGGGAGGATACAAAGAAGTGGTGGAATTCCTGATCCCCACGACCTTCAGAATCATTTCCTATTGCACTTCTCTACTGGACCAATATGATTGAGCTGGACAACAGTTGAGGCATAGAGGGAAATGATACGTGAAATCAGTTTAAGAAGCAGAAGTCTGATTTTCATCAAGGCCATTGAAAGAAAGAAAAGGAAATGGAAGAGTTGAGATTGCTAAGCAACAAAAGCCCTGCATATGGGTTGCGGGGAGGAGTCACCCATATAAGGCATTGAGAGTTGGCTACCAAGTAGACATAAGTAACATAAGCACAATGCTTTATAAGCCACAGTGCCCCTGGGAATAAAACTGACAGGCAAGGCAACTCTCTAAGGATCTATAAGATTTGTTATTGGATGTCCAGGCAGTGCCTGACTCAAACTGTGGGTATAGTTTATTCTGCTATTCGTTTATATATGGACATTTGTGTTGCTCCCAACATTTGCACTCACAATGCTGCAATGAATAATCCTGTGCATATATATGTTTGTACTGTTGGGGGTATTTCGTCAAGGGAAATTCCTAGGTGTGGAATGGTGAGGTCAAAGGTAAGGGCTTTTGCAGCTGTGTTAAGTACTGACAAGTTCCCCTCCAAAACGGTTATATCAATTTGCATTCCCACCAGCAGTGCTGTTTCCCCAGAGCCTCGCCTAACAAAATGTGTGGTACTTTTTGTCTTTCACTAATCTAAGGTGATAACAATATCTCAGTATTATTCCAATTTGCATTTCTCTAATCATGAGTGGGTCTGAACATTTCATTTTTAAAAGCCATTTTTACATCTCTATGTGAGTGTGTGTTTGTGTCTTTTACCAATTTTTCTATTAAGTTTTTGGTACTTTGTCCCTAATTTTTTTTTTTTTTTTTTTTT